ATTCTGCAAATAAAAATGCCACTGATTGTACTGTTCTTTTGTGTTTCCATAAGCAAAGGTAGTAATTACTTTACAATGATCACAGGCTTAAGATAGTAGCAATCACTCGTTGAACTCGAAAAGGAGACGAAAGGACTTGTCTTAGTAATAAATTCGGAATTTAAGAATCTAAATGAAATATTTTATTTGCTAGATTTAACAAATCATTCTTAATTTACTGATGAGAAAACGGTTGAAAAGACCCACTGCGTTGTGAAATCAAACGTATGACAAATGATGGGAAATAATTATAACGCGAGCATCTCTCGTCTTTGTTGAGTGTGTTAATTGTGATCATCTAAATTTATCAGCAAACTCGTTTTAAGGGTGGGTAGGTGCAATGAAGTTAATTAAGCCATGAATCGGGTGTTAATTAAATCTGGAATTATAGGCCCATCGTTATGACAAAGAGGATGGTATTCGCCCAAGGTCTTCTGTCATAAACTCACCAACTTCTGTACTGGGTCTTTAAGTTGTCAACGACAGCACTATAGTTCGTGCTGCCACAAAACCCACTGATTGTACATCACAAAAGCCATTAACTGAAGTGGTATTCAAATGAATTGCTGGAATCCAAAGTTAAAGTCCACGAGTGAGTGAGTGAGTTTAGTTTTACGCCGCACTCAGCAATATTCCAGCTATATGGCGGCGGTCTGTAAATAATCGGATCTGGACCAGACAGTCCGGGGATCAACAGCATGAGCATCGATCTACGCATCTGGGATACGATCTCGTGTCAACTCAGTCAGCGAGCCTGACCGCCGGATCCCGTTAGTCGCCTCTTACGACAAGCATGGGTTACTGAAGATCAATTCTAACCCGGATGTTCACCGGTTTAAAGTCCACGATCTAGAATCAGTGACTGTTGACGGTGTCATACAGCAGCCATAACCATCCTTTTCCTAAAAGGTTATATTACCCATGGTTGTTCATGCCCTCAACCCCCAGTTCAGACATGTTGATGTGGTGCAGATGCGTTATTGTTGACTTACTTTAAAATAATCCTTGATATATCCTGGTATCAATAATATTTGATACCAGAGTATGTTTTAAAGTGATAGTTCATCCCATATATTTTAAACCAGTCATTACATTTCACATCAATTTATATTTCAGCACCCAGTTAGAATTGATCTTCAGTAGCCCATGCTTGTCTTAAGAGGCGACTATCGGGATAGGGTGGTCAGGCTCGCTGACTTGGTTGACACACGTATCCCAATTGCCGTTGATCACTTGATGATTGCCTGCTCCAGACTCGATTATTTACATACTGCTGGAATGTTACTGAGTGCGGAGCAAAACTCACTCACTATATTTCAGTATCTGAACCTACACAATGCTACTTCATACATGTGATTAGTATGAAAACGTATGAGGATACTTAGCATCAAAGAGGCCTACTCAAACCACATGACATGTTTTAAGCCCATTCCACGGATCAGTAGGCTTTTAAACCCAACTCCCTTGGGAGAGTGCAACATTGCTCTACAACCCAAGTTGACTTTCGCTCAGAAGCATGCTGTGTAATATTCAATGATTGATTTACGAAGGTCAACCAGTCTGGTGAAAATCAATGTCAGAAGGATTAAAAAACTCCCTTTCACTTCCACTTAGAGTTCATGGTATCCCAGCACATCTCAACAAGTATGGACACATCTTTTTTCCCTTTTTCAAATTCATTTTGATTAGTAACCCCAGAAGACTGTTCTTGGGTTCAAAGATCCCAAATCCTGGTGAAACACACAGTGATTTATGTACTCCCCAAATAACCTTATGGTCAGGGGAACTCACCGAGATCACCATATGGTCAGGGGAACTCTACTAGATCACCATATGGTCAGGGGAACTCACCAAGATCACCATATGGTCAGGGGAACTCACCAAGATCACCATATGGTCTGGGGAACTCACCAAGATCACCATATGGTCAGGGGAACTCACCAAGATCACCATATGGTCTGGGGAACTCACCAAGATCACCATATAGTCAGGCGAACTCACGAAGATCACCATATGGTCTGGGGAACTCACCTAGATCACAATATGGTTAGGGGAACTCACCAAGATCACCATATGGTCTGGGGAACACACCAAGATCACAATGTGGTCAGGGGAACTCACCGAGATCACCATATGGTCAGGGGAACTCACCTAGATCATCATATGGTCTGGGGAACACACCAAGATCAACATATGGTTAGGGGAACACACCAAGATCACCATATGGTCAGGGGAACACACCAAGATCACCATATGGCCAGGGGAACTCACCGAGATCACCTAATGGTCAGGGGAACTCACCTAGATCACCATATGGTCAGGGGAACTCACCAAGATCACCATATGGTCTGGGGAACCCACCAAGATCACCATATGGTCAGGGGAATTCTTCGAGATCACCATATGGTCAGGGGAGCTCACCCTATGGTCTGGGGAACTCACCAAGATCACCATATGGTCTGGGGAACACACCAAGATCACCATATGGTCAGGGGAACTCACCAAGATCACCATATGGTCTGGGGAACACACCAAGATCACCATATGGTCAGGGGAACTCATCGAGATCACCATATGGTCAGGGGAGCTCACCAAGATCACCCTATGGTCTGGGGAACTCACCAAGATCACCATATGGTCTGGGGAACACACCAAGATCATGATATGGCCAGGGGAACTCACCAAGATCACCATATGGTCAGGGGAACACACATATATCACCATATGGTCAGGGGAACTCACCTAGATCACCATATGGTCAGGGGAACTCACCAAGATCCCCATATGGCCAGGGGAACTCACCAAGATCACCATATGGTCAGGGGAACACACATATATCACCATATGGTCAGGGGAACACACCTAGATCACCATATGGTCAGGGGAACTCACTCATTTCATTGCTAACCTGACATGGCAATCAACATTGCTGTCCCACCCTTCATCCTCATCCTCCGCCCCCGACCAGCATTGACTGTGCCCACACTAGGGAATACACATTTGTGTGTGGACCAACATGCCGCATGCACCACATAAAGGACATTATTACCTGACAATGATATCATTTCAAAGGTTCAGCGAGCCACATAATTAATTACATTAGTTTTAAAGATATAATTGAGTCATCACAATCAATCTAATCTGAGCAGAGTTGCTTTTAGTCAGTATGTCCGTGCAAGGGATACAAACAGCAGTAATTACCACCAACGTTCACTAATTACGCAAAACGTGATATTTGACCACTTGCACTAAGTATGGTGACAAGCTTTTAATTGTTCACCTATGTATCGAGACAGGACAAAGGGTTAGCATACACAAAGCTGATGACATTTTGTGAGGAATGTACAAGGTCCTGATATCATGTTAATTACTGGGCTGCCAATCAGGGTCACTATGGATGAGCGCTGTATGAAATTGACATGTCATGTTTCATTTCAAGTGGTATTCATATTGACAAGGCCGATCGCTGATAGCACTTGTCAATAGAATGATAATTACAGCTGCTATGCTGTGGACATTAATGTGATTAGTCTGGTATGTAGCTGATCTCGGACTAAAAAGTTATATAGATTCATCCAAGTTATAAAATCATGGAATTGTACAGGAGATGCTGATAGGATAACAACCACACAACGTTAACAATTTCAAAATTGACAGCAGAAAGTTGGGAGAGGAACTGCATTGATCACCTTCTATTTCATGTTCCTGCACAAAGAGCCAGTGTGTTTAAAGTGAGTGAGTGAGTTTAGTTTTACACCACTTTTAGCAGCATTCCAGCAATATCATGGCATGGGACACCAGAAATGGGCTTCATACATTGTACCCATGTGGGGAATCGAACCCAGATATGTGGCATGACTAGTGAACGCTTTAACCACTAGGCTATCCCACCATCCCAGTGTGTTTAAAAATGGTATGAATATGATTTCAGTTGTTTTTATCAACCTCAGTTTCATAATTCTGCACAAAGAGGCAGTGGGTTGAAAGATGGCTTGAATGTGATTTCATTACAATTCATCAACCTCAGTTTCATATTTCTGCACAAAGAGGCAGTGGGTTGAAAGATGGCTTGAATGTGATTTCACATTTGAATATAATCCAGGATTCAAATCCAACTGGGACTCACACAACCCACCCCTACCCAAAAAGTATTCGCATCTTTACTTTACTGAGAAAATGTCACCCTGAATGTACCATGTGTCAGCCACATGCTATTGCTACTGTTTTCCTATTAACCCTGGACACTTAATTTCTATTTCAGTTGATCATGCTATGGTCTTCCTCTTAACCCTTGTGTTTCAGTCTGAACACTTGCAGCATCTGTTGTCTTAATATCGTGACCCGTGAAGATCCAGGTTAAAATGAACCTTCAGTAACCCATGCTTATCGTAAGAGGTGACTAACAGGATCGGGTGACTTGGCTGACTTGGTTGATACATGTCATCGGTTCGCAATTGCGCAGATCGATGCTCATGCTGTTGATCCCTGGATTGTCTGGTCCAGACTCAATTATTTACAGACCGCTGCCATATAGCTGGAATATTGCTGAGTGCGGCGTAAAACTAAACTCACTCACTTCATATTGTGGTGCCTCAGACAGCTGCTCCACCCATGCCCCTTTTTGTTTTGTAAAGTAAAGATGCTGTACCTTGAAATATAATTATGTGCTCACATCATTGAGTAACCACCCATGAAATTAGAAATGGTCTTCAGTAACTCCTGCTTGTCTACAAGACATCAGGTTGTCAGGCTTGATAACTTGGTTGAGACATGTCATTGTATCCCAAATGTGTAGATCAACTATTATGAGGTTGAACCCTGGATTGTCTGTTATTTACACACAGCTATCATCTATTTGAAATATTGATTGCGTATTAAAACAACAAACCAAACCTTGAGTATCAACAAATTACAATATGTGACCATATCTCGAATTCTTGGGTTTCTATCTACCAACTTACTCGGATGTCTTGGTCCGACGGTTGTACAAGCACCTCCCGTGAATGACTTTTCATAATGGCTGTCAAAGGTTGTTTCTGTTTTTCTATGTTAACAGTATGGACATCGTCACTTGTAACCATCACAGCTTCTTCGTTTCTTGCAGGAATGGCACTGTCCAGAGGAAACATTAGTCCTGTAGTCCTCAAGTCCGAAGCATTGACAAAGGTAACATTCCTGCTTATAATCTTGGTATTTTCCCTTGGGAGGGTGTAGTGCTTTGCTGTCTGTTTACTAATCTGTACCGTATTAGGGTGTGCACTATCAACCACTGTTTTGGAGCGATTGTAGCCTAAGAGCAATTTTGGCACATCAGGTTTGGAACTTAGTTTTTCTGCTGAAAATGTTGATTGTGGAGCAACTTGAGTTACAGGTTCAGTGTGTGGATATTGTGGAAGACTATCAAAAGGGTTGTCTTGACCAGTAGTCTCCCAGTGCAAACTCTCCCCTGACACTGTTCGGGGAGGAGTAGAGTTTGAAGACTGTTCACTTGAGTCTATCTGTGACACAGGAACCTGGATGACCAACCGTTTGGATGACTCAAGTGAACCGGCAACCATCTGCTCACATCCCAACATGGAAGCTGAAAAGAGGTTGTTAGTTTAGAAATGTTTTACATAAAAAAAATGTCACAATAAATTTAATTTAGATTATCAACAATTTAAGAGCAGGAGATATTTTTCATATTACATTTCTTCTAAACATTCTCCTCAGACATTAACGTGAGTGAGTGAGTGAGTGAGTGAGTGAGTGAGTGAGTTTGGTTTTACCCTGCTTTTTTTTCAATATTCCAGCAATATCACTGCAGAGGACACTGGAAATTGTACCCATGTGGGGAATCAAACCCGAACCACTAAACTAACCCATCGCCCCACATTAATGCTAACAGGTGATGGATATGATTGATATGAATTATGACTGAGTATGTGTATGGTGTACTTCATCAATATAAACATCCCATATGTAGCAATGTTTTACATGTGTGAGTACTGGGAACAATTACGTGATGAGAGGTGTTTGATGTATATTTTCCTCATCTGATTCTATTTTAAACCACATGATTTATGGAAGTCACTTCCAGCAAGTACTACAAACATGATTTCCATAATTTTATACAAGACAACGTTAGACTATTGCACTCATAAGGATTCTGTAGGGACCAAAAACTTCCATAGTCATAAAGGACATATCAAGTGAACAGATTATGACTTTACAAGGTTCTGCTGTACCCTGAGGCTGAGGAACAGGGAGAATCCATGTGTATTTCAGAATACACATTTCTTCAATCAGAACGGAAAACATGAAAACAGATAAATGGTTCAAAATCAAGAAAATGGTTTTAACAAATTGTTCTCTTCTTATAAAATAATAGATACTGCAAACCATATTCAGACACCTTACAATATATCTTTTTTTTAAACATTAGTTTTATTCCTTGATACTTTACTGTACAAGTACAAGAAGTAAATTTATGATCTGTGCTATACACCATAATTATTCTAGTATTGATAAGTTAGTCTGTCTCACAGTCACTGAACCACATTATTTCCCCTACTGCTGAACCCTCCCTGTAATACTAAAGCCCAAAAAGAAGCAAATGTAGATTTCTCCCAACTCACTGTGGTTCCTTTTCAATTTAAATGGGTTTATTTGTTACTATCAATATTATATATATTCAGCGACTAAGCATTAGTCTATGATAATGTGAGCACAGAGATTAAGAAACCAGGACCTAACTATTTGAGAACCTGGAAGTCCATGGCGATGAAATCGGCATACATCCTGGTATAGATAAGTTGTCAAGATTACAACAAAACATCCATTATCCTTGTGGAGTAGAGGACGCCTACACAAGTCCAAGATGACTTACCTGATAACTGTTGCAACTAACCTTGGCGGGTGAGATCAGGGGTGGGGGCATAGAACTCCCCCAGGGAAACATGGGTGTGGTCTTCTGGAGGAAGGGCGATCTCTAATTGGCTTGTTTCAGCAAGAAGCTCACTCTCATCAATTTCATGCTGAAAGTAATAACGCTAATTTATTATGACGCAATTGACATATTTACAATGGATAGCACTTAAAATTGACATGATGTCAGAGTTAGTAGATAAAAAAACCAATTTGTCAGTCATGGTTTGCTTGGTTTAAATCAGAGAAGCTGTCATGATAGCTATTTGTCAAACTGTTAACATTGGAGTTACATAATTTTTTGGTAAAAATACAAAAAAGGGCAAATCATCTGAGCTAATAGAAACTACTTACAGTTTATGAGAGGAAAAGGAAAGTATTGCTTCATGATGTTATCAACATTTCATATTTTTTAATGTTATGGACAAATTTCTAGACGTAGGTTTCATGCTACAATGAACATTATTACAGCCACATTGTGTTGGAAAATATCAATAAAATACACATTAAGCACACACAAATATATCATTTCCTAAAATAAAATGACTGAAGTGGACATTTGAAAAGAATCGAAGGTACAATTGCTGATCAAAGTAGTGTAACAGTCTAATTTTTGTATGTAACAGGCAAAATATTTCCTTATCATCAAAAGATGATTATGTTGTGAATAAATATTGCATCTAATAGACCACATGGAATAAGCTACAGCGTTGATGAGGAACGCCCGGCCTCTTCAGCTCTGCATATTTACACTAAGGGTCTCATTAAAACATCGGCTACAGACACAGTGAACTAATGAAATAAATTGTTTGCATTGACAAATCAATCTTTGGCACTTTTATTAAATGAGGGATCCCTAAAAAATTTAAGCACATCCAAATTTGTGAAATGCGTGTAACTGATTTGATCCTGGGCCTGCCGTCCTGGCTGACTATAAAATGTCAGCAAGAAACTACAGTTCATATTATCAAATTTTCCTCATTTCAAAGATATGGAATTATCCACGGACCCCAAATCATTTTAACAAGTAATTGAACATCTGATTGGCAAAGACCATTAAAGACAGTTTCCCAATATTGATCTTGTGTGAAGATAATCCTATTTTCTGCCCAGTGTTGGTGTTCAAAAGACAACAAATAACTTGCGGTTCCTGTTCAGACTCTATTCCACTCCCCTGGGCTCTCCTAACATATCAGTGAAACCTTCAATCTACATTGATGGGAATTTAACACTGGTGTGATCAAAAACTAGGGAAAACGGTTCTTTTGTTCTAGAGTTATTTTGAAATTAAAGTGTTTTTCGGTGGTTCCACTCAAGGCTTGGGAAACAGAAGCCATACAAATAAATTAGTTCCGCTAAAACTGTGCACTCCTGTCAAAATGCATCACCTAATTAAATGTGGAGTTTCCCCTGAGTAGGATCTCATCGTTAGTGGTAGAACAATAAGGCTATTGGAAAGTACTTGAAATAAAACAGATCATCTCGATTGGCCAGAACTTCAAAAGGACCTCACAGCCAGCCCCGACAACTCCGAGTGCTCCATTGGTCACAAAGTTTTCGGTAGATTCACCACATAGTCAATAATTTCATAAAGACTGAACCTGAGGTTCTCGAGTCATGGACGTAAGCTATCTTTAAAGGAGTAACATCAAACATGGGTCATTTGGGATAAGGGGTAGGGCACCATCAAAACAAACAGGCCTACCCTGTGGTCTGCGGGCTGGATAATTTGTGATCAAATTGATCTACTGGTAGGAAAAGACTTGGCACTAGATACAACTTCAAATGAACAATGGCCAAAAGACAAAGTGTGGGGCTCAACAGTCGGGACATACCGTGGCCATTACTCTTTTGATTCCGCCAATATGAGATTACTCGCTAGAGATCACAAACCATTGACTCACCCAGCCCCAGTGCTGATATGATATTAATAATAATAACATAATCACAATGTGAGTCATGGATGTGCCCTCTGTTTATACGTAGTGGTATTATCCCTGACAGTAACATTAGATAGCTATTAGTCTATAACTATCAGTGTTGCTTCTCTGGCCGTAGTGAACAAACCGGGGAAAAACAGCCCTATCTGGTGGACAAAGCTCTGGGTTTTTTATGAATTATTTTATCCAGATTGAGAATAATTTGAAGTAAAAACATGAGCAGTGTGTATACTGGCTATACAGGAATAGAGGATGTATGATTGTTGTTTTTTGTGTGTTTTTTTTTCATTATCCCTCATATATCCTGCCATGGCTATTTCTCCAACATAAAGAATGATAAAGAAACGTGATCTTTTGTATATAATATCTATGTCCTAATTCTAATAATAAATCTTACCCTTAGCGTAGTAAAGGGTGTCCTAGGATTAGTGAGTGAGTTTAGTTTTATGCCACTTTTAGCAATATTCCAGCAATATCACGGCGGCGGACACCAGAAATAAGCTTCACACATTGTAGCCATGTGCAGGATCGAAATCTGGTCTTTGGCGTGACGAGCGAACACGTTAACCACTACCCGCAGCACCCCTGTCGTAGGATTAAGACACCAAAGGGGACGGAAGGCTGGACAATGGAATAGATGATGGACAGCGGATCGGATACTGAATGTGATGATGTTGAATGACATTAAAACATGTGTGATATCATACTGGACATTACGTTGGATTATTGAATTAGAAATTCACCCAGGGTATTGAATCAGGGTTCAGATTTGAGGAAATCTACCCAGGGTATTGAATCAGGGTTCATTTTTGAGGAAATCTACCTAGTGTATTGAATCAGGGTTCAGATTTTAGGAAATCCACCCAGGGTATTGAATCAGGGTTCAGATTTTAGGAAATCTACCTAGTGTATTGAATCATGGTTTCAGATTTGAGGAAATCTACCCAGGGTATTGAATCAGGGTTCATTTTTGAGGAAATCTACCTAGTGTATTGAATCAGGGTTCAGATTTTAGGAAATCTACCCAGGGTATTGAATCATGGTTCAGATTCGATGAAGATAACATCCAATGTATTAAATCCGGAAATCTACCAAGGGTATTGAATCAGGGTTCCAACCAGACCCAGTACATAACATGGTTGACCTTAGCATCAGGACTCAGATGTGCATACACTGGGCATCTCTGCACGATGTTGATTACTTATCTGTGAAGAACATGTCGCCACATGCCAGTATCAGGGCGCTTCAAACAAGGCATAAAGAAATACCTTCTCAACCCATTACTCGACATGTATAAAAACATGCATGAAAACCTCATAAAATCTCCAAAATCATCAAAATTGTAAATAAATTTAAAATCTTTTCAATGTGGAAATTATGACCAATATAAATGGTACTGATCCAAGTAAAGATAAACTGGAAGTCCTTTGATGTCTTCTGGGTCTGACATATGTAACAGCATGTTAGCTGCTCACGATGTTGCGAGTGAAATAAAATGATCATATACATCAGCGGGGGTATATCTTTGCTTGGGTGAACATAAATTCCCAGTAGCGAGTCTAATTCAGTATTATTGCTCATCACCGACTGCCACCCCTGGGAGGGGGAGATTTATGCGACGTTCACACCGGCCCTCCAATACATGTTTCTCATCACTTAAACATTAATCATATACTGTGAAAAAAATCAAAGATGGCTATCTACAATACTTCATGTGATTATTTAGGATAAGATGAAACATATTTCTCATGATACATGTATTTTTAAATATTGATAAAAATGGTCGACAAAATATTTTTTAAACATTCAGATATTGAGTGAGTTTGCTTTAAAGCCCCTTCTAGCAATAGTCTAGTACTATCATTATGGGCGTCACTCAAAAGGGTTGAAGTTGTAGCATCAAATATTAAAGTTGTGTTCTCGTCATTAATGATGATTTGAACATGTTATGATGTGATTAGATGGGTTGAGTTTTGCTTTACGCCGCTTTTAGCAATATTCCAACAATATCACGGCGGGGGGACACCAGAAAAGGGCTTCACACATTGTACCCATGTGGTGAATCGAACCCACGTCTTTGGCATGACGAACAAACGCTTTAACCACTAGGCTACCCCACCGCATCTTGATATGATTAGGAAAATAAACTTTTTTGAAAAACAATAAATGATGACATATGATCGTAAGTGCCATTGCATCTGCTATCTTTCAGTCTCATCCAGCCAGGATGAAAGTATTCAAGTCTGGACTGGGTAAACCAGGGGTTGATTGCATGAGCAGAATCCATGTCATCAGATCAGACACAAAGAGAGTTCACCTCCCTGATGGCCATCCACTAATGGGCTATTCAGTAGAAGCAGCCATTTTGACCATTTTGGTTGAATTCGTGAAGATCTGGGTTAGAATTGATCTTCAGTAACCCATGCTTGTCGTATTGTCACTATATGGCTGAAATAATGCCGATGTGACGTAAAGCCCAACTCAACACAACTCATGCTTGTCGTAAGAGGCGACAAACGGGATTGGGTGGTCAGGCTCGCTGACTTGGTTGACACATGTCATCATATCCCAATTGCGTAGGTCAATGCTCATACTGTTGATCACTGGATTGCCTGGTCCAGACTCGATTATTTACAGACCGCCACCATATAGCTGGAATATTGCTGAGTGAGGCGTAAAACTAAACTCACACACTCCATTTTGGTCGACTCTTTTATGACATTCATCAGTCTTGTCCCTGTACACACAATATGCTACTCGAAAGAAAAACACCGAATCCTTCATATTTCTATTGTTAATCGGTGACTCCAATATAGATTAACTATAGTAATGACAACATTTGGTGTTCTGTCACTTCGAATTCTTTGTGTGATATAAGCGAGACTAACTTACAGTCTCTGAAATGAACACATATTACAGAAACAAACAGTTGTGAAATATCTTACTTAGGCCAGGCCAATTTTATTTCTTGTTTTACGGATCGGCCTGTCATATTTTTTCAAGAATAAGGAAAAATATTTTTTGAAAATTCCCCACTCAAAAAATAAAATCCTAATGTTTTTTATTGACCAAAAATGTAAACATACAAGAAATTTTGTTTTTAGATTGTTTTTTTGCCCCATATACACTTCATAAATTGCCTAAAGTAACATACTTTGAATATTTAGAAG